AGGCGGTCACATGACAATACCCACAATGCAGTAGGCGGTCACATAACTGTTTGCTACACTTTCCTTTCAGGGAAGGCCTTTCCTTCCTCAGAGTTTTGTTACTCTAAAGGAGAGTGATTAAAATTGACCATTCTCTTATGTGAGAAAACCAGTGGAAAGCAAACATGGGCTTGTTGAGGCAGAGTTAGCGCTGGTCAGAACCAACATGGGTCAGTGAACAATGCAGCGGCCACCGCACAGCTTAGCTAGCGTGCACCGCCTTGCCTGAGGGTTCTGTAACACAGACAGTTATCAGCTAGAATCTTCTTATTGTCACACACTCTAAAGAGCACTTTTATTTTTGGCGCCTGCTAGGTAAGTCAGGTGCCAGCACTTGACAAGAGGCTGAATAAAAAGCCTGGTCCCTGAATTCAGGAGCCAGCCCAGTAAGAAACAAGCAAAGTGATAGCGTGTTCTTTGTTGAGTCAGGGAGGGATGCTAGCAAGCACAGCAGGGCTGAAGACATCATATCCATGGTTGGGATGGTTTCCAAGAGCACTACCAGCACTCAGGTGACAAAGGTCACACCCCAAACCCTCCATTCCCTTAGTTTTAAGATTCTATCATAGTACCTGTGTCCTAGGAAGGGAGAAAGAAGGGGAGGGAGGGGGAGGGAAAGAGATAGAGACAGAGAGAGACAGAGTGAGAGACAGGCAGAAAGAGATGTGGAGAGATAGACACAGAGAAAGGCAGGAAGGGGGGGAGAGAGAAACAGAAAGACAGAGAGTGAGATAGAGGCAGAGAGAAAGGGAGAGGCTGACAGTTAAGAAACAGGGGGTGGGGAGAGAGAAACAGAAACACACAGAAAGAGACAGAGATAGAGACAGAACCAGACAGACAGAAAGACAGACAGAGGGAAAAAGTGGAAAGGAAAAGGATGATAGGAAGGAAAGGTGAAGAGGAAAGGTAAGATGCCTGCTATGAAGAACACACTCCCAAAGCAGTAGAAGCTTCCTGGGGTGTGTTGGGTGGCTTTGCTGAGCCCGAGATCTGTATTCTTGCATCAGCTGTAAGCTCTAGACTGTGGGCATCTTTTCTTTGCCACATAATGGGTCATGGGAACTTGGGTCCTCAATCAAAGGACCCCCGTTGAGCCCAGCCAGTGAAGTGCTGCCCTCTGCCACCAGCGAGGGCAAACAAACACAGGCTCAATACCCAAGGTGACTTCCCCACCCAGCACACCAGGCGCCATCCTCATGCCCAGGTGGGACATCTCTGTGATGCTGCCCCTGCCCACCAAACCCAAAACCTGATCCTCCAGGTGTTTCTCTCCTTACCCTGGGACTCTGCCAGCGACATGCAAGCAAAGGGCGGGAGCTGTTACCTCAGATTGTTCTCCAGGGTTTCCTCGTCTGAAGAGAAGGTCCCATTGCTGGCACTCGGGGGCGAGTGACTCTGCCTCCCAGCTGATTCCTCCTGAGACAACAGAGTGCCTTTCTTTTTCTTTTTGCCAAACAACTTCTTAAAAGGCTGGAGTTTACCTCCCTTCTTCTTGTCTGTGAATTGCAAGATAAACACACAGCTGCAGTCTGACAGGGCCTTGCCTCTGACTAGGAACAAATTACCACTCAGCCACTTCAGGGCCAAGAGAGCCAGGGCAAAGGGCAGCCTGAGAGAACAAGCCCTCTGCTGAGCATGGCAGGGCCGCCCAGGCATCAAGGTGCACAGTGAGGCAGGACACAAGCCATGGGCATGATGCACCTTCTGACCCTCAGGCTTCTAGAAGATCAAGGGGAAGTTCTGACTGCAGGGCCAGCAGGGCCAGCAGGGCACCCCCCTACACACACACACACATACACACAAACACACACCACATGAAAGTGGCACTTCCTTTAACAGAGCTAATGGTAATGGTTAGGGACAGCTTCTGGGGGAAGCTGTGAAAAGCACCCAAGCCATACAGGCATTTTCGCAAGTATACGACACAAACCCCCAATCACTCTGGTTTAGCCTTGTCACATACAGAAGATAATGGTTAACTCTTGGCACAGGCTTTGTGTCATTGCCACTCATGACCAGATAGCCCTCGATTATCTCCCATATCTCCTTTAACATTTCCCAGTGAAGAGATCCCAAGCAGCTGCTATGAACTTCTTTCCATATTCTACTGCATCTACTAAGGAGAGGGGCTTGCTGCTAAACTCTGCTGAAGATATTTTTGGCAGTACCTTCCACTCTGCTCCTTTGGATACAAATTCCTTCACTTCACTCCAGTTCCACCAAGGAACAGAAAGTGTAAACCCTTCTCCACCAGAAGAGTGCCGTTTATCATCTTTCCTTGAGAACCTTAGAGCATGCTCACAAGGCAGTCTCGTGACCATCTTTGAAACTGCTTCCCCCCCTCACTCCGCCGCCGCCGCTCCAAGGGCCTGCTGGAAAGATCAATCTCTACGATAACTCCGTGACGTTACTGAGTATTATTAATGTCCCCGTGGTGGGCTTTGCCCATGGGAAGTGGCACTATTAGGAGGTGTGGCCTTGTTGGAATGGGCGTGGCCTTGGAGGCAGTTTGTCACCGTGTAGGCGGGCCTTGAGGGCTCCTAGTGCTCCAGCTCTGCCCAGTGCAGAAGACAGTCTGCTCCTGGCTGCCATCAGATCAGGATGTAAACTCTCAGCTCCTTCTCCAGCACCACGTCTGCTTGGCCGCTGCCCTGCTTCCCGCCATCATGATAATGGACTGAACCTCGGAAACTGCGAGCCAGCCCCAGTTAAATGTTGCCCTCGTTTCCAAAATTTATGCCGTACTTCCTTATCGGAAATATCTTTATTACGTTTAGGAGTTCATCCTACGCTTATTTTACTATTAAATTTGTTAGCCTTCTTTCGAAAAGATTTAGTAATGACTCTTAGGGCCAGCCTATATTTACACAGTAAAACGTAAGGTGACATTAATAGATATGGACTCTTTTAAAAATAATTTACTTTTTAAGATTAAAACATAATTATATCATGTCCCCCTACTCCTTCCTCTTCCCTGCAAGCCCTCCCATATATCACTCCTTGCTCCCTTTCAAACCAAGCCTCCGTTTCACTAATTCTCATCACATATATAATATATAGACATGCATACATACGTAAGTACAACAGGCTTATTCCACATAATGTTACCTGGATGTGTGTTTTTAGGGTGAACCGTTTGGTATTGGAGAGCTCTTTCCTGGGGAAGGCCATTTGTCCCTCTCAGTGTTCCTTGGCTGTCTGCAGTTCTTCGTGTAGGGTTGAGGGGCCTCATGGACTTCCCGGCCATGTTAGTGTGTCTTTTGTTGTTGCCTTTGTTCAGTTCATGTTTAGTCAGTTATGACAGGGAGACTTTATGGGTGTAGAGTATAAGCCCTTTAAATCATAGCAAGAGTTATAAATTCTTACTTATGTGATTCCCCCAATTTATAGTCTCAAATATTAAAGCCTCCCATCCCCCCCCCCAAAAGGCTAGTTATAACAGTTGCAATTCCCTGTCACACCATGTGCAAATCTGGACGTGTGTCTGTAAACATCCATTAAATAAACCTAGGACTTTAAGGAACACTGGAAGTCGGCTCCATAGACACAGCTGGCTTAAGGGCCTACAGCCCCTGGTAGCTGCTATTCTCTTGACAAGCAACAATGCTATTGTTAATAGTCTTTGAGGCAAAGATGGGGCATGAAAGAACAAATTTCACCAACTAGTTAGGCAGTTTCACGACTGTGGCAAAACCTAGCACACACTCGCAGAGCTAACTCGAAACATCCCAAGCACGCTGCCATGCAGAGCAGGCAGAAAACACAGATGTAGCTGATTTTACAACACAGACTTTACTGATCTTGAGTAGATGGACAACTGGAAAAGAGGAAAGAGAAGGGTAATTACTAATAATGTGGTATTTCCCTGGCTACAGACACATCTAGTGATTAAAGGTCTGGGCCCCAAAGACGGGAGTGTTTGGCTCAAATACCTAATCCTGTCCGTTATTAGCATCTACCTCCCACTCTCTCTAGATTCTCATGCTCTAGCTTTACGATTACTTCCATGAGTGAGCAGCGGGATGACACATTATCTTAATATTTCCACTTTAAGTTTCAGCCTGGAAGGCATTATAGATGTATACATGATGCTTTAAAATCACACTGACTTTCATTCTCCAGGTGCTGAATTAAATTAATTTATTTTTGTTGTCCAGTAATTACTTTAGGGTTTTTTTCCCATTTAAAAAAGTGCTCATTATCCACTATTTAATGAACAACATCATATACCACCTGAGGCCTGCAGCTCATAACCACTAATTTATATAGATAATCCTAAAAAAATTAAAAATCCCACCTGGAAGGTCAAGCAAATAGGATTCCTTTCCCATTTTTCATATGGATAAAATTCTTACGTGTTTATTCCTAATCTTGGAATTATTAAAGCACCTAACTTCTCGGCACTGCATTCTAAGGTGTGCCACCAACTCAGAAACGGATGGCAGAATTCAGTTTAAGCACTGTCATAAATGTGTTGGTCTGAGGTTCTCAGAAGTTGACACCGGGTTCCTAAGGCCAGAACATCGGAGATTCCAGGTAAAATAAAAATGAAGTGCACATCTTCGTGAAGCAACTTGCGAAGTCTCTAATGTGCTATTACCACCGCTCTCCACAGAGGAGAGAACAGGCAGCGCTTATCTGGAAGCTGGTTGGGTTAAAGAAACTTGACTTTCTCTTCCTCATGCTCCACCTGGTCTTCATGCTCTGCCTCCTCGTGCTCCTTTTCCTCTTCAAGCCCCTCCCCTCATGCTCCACCTCCTTTTCAAGCCCCTCCCCCTCATGCTCCTCCTCCTCTTCAAGCCCCTCCTCCTCATGCTGCTCCAATTTTTCCAGGAGCTTTACTGTGTAACTCAGGTTGCCCTCAAACTTGTGACAATCCTGCCTCTTCCTCCCAAGTGTTAAGATGACAGGCACTGCTTCCTGTGGGTTTCTCTGAACTCACTTTGATAGAGTCTTCATCAATCTTCTCCCCCTCCCTTTCCTGCTTCCACCTCCTACACACCCTCTTGACCATTTTCATGTTAGGCAGATATTCTACCATTGAGCTACATGTAGACTTCATTATGTCTTTTTGTTTCTCTAAGTAGTCTTATATCACACACACACACACACACACGCACACGCACACGCACACGCACACGCACACGCACAGCCTTCTTTCCTCTAAACTCCAGTGCACACTCCTCTGTAAACATGAAAGTGAACTGAAACATTTGAGACTTTACTGGTTAAATAAACTTAATGTTTTATGTAAACATCTGCAAAGACATTTAAATAGATACATTAAGGTAGCGTTTGTCTATAGATACATTAAGACAGCAATTGTCTGAATCCCAGGATTCTACTAATTGAAGGAATTTTCTTACTCTGGGGCCGTCTAAACACTTTTTTTTTTCAGATGGAACTTCCAAGTTTAAAAAGATAACGACACACACCGAGTGTTGCACAGGGACTCTGTCGTCACCACATTTGTACAAGACCCCAAAGTCCTAGGTTATTTTAGCCACGACTAAGGAGCTGGAAGCATGTCACCTGGACTCCGCATCACAGGGCCATGAGATGGCAAAACAGGGTCTAGTATTCTGCTCCTGGGATCGGTAGGCTGGTATTCCAGCAGCTTGCTGGACTACAAGAGGAAAAAGAAGCATCTTCTCGTTTCCCAGGGAAAGCGGGTAAGGAAGAAGGCATTTCCTGCCGTATTGAGAAGATGAGGAGACAGTAGCGGGACTCCTTTAGAACAGGGCAGGGGTCCCCAGAACCAGTGGAAGACCAGAGATAATGGGGAATGCCCTCCTGTCTCTCTGCACCTACAGCATCTGACATAGCACCCGATGTTCAATAAATAGCACGGATCATCTGTTCCTACCCCTCCAGGGCCATGTTCTTTCCTGGGCACAGAGAGGTATAGTTAGATGCTTGTGGGGTTCGAGACAGCACTGGATAAACAAGCACAATGTTTTTTGTTCAATATCCATGAACGTGCATCAGCCTTACAAAGGCCTCTGGGACACGACAGCACAGATCAAGGAGAGGGTTCCTCTATGCTCTTGATCAGTCCAGCAATCTCACCTATTTTGAAAAATGTAAATTTGTTCCACCTGTTTGACGGGTGCAATCTCACCCACAAGACATACTAGGTGAGTGCGTGAAATGGCTTGTGCTTACCGGGGTCTGAGCAAGGACCTCCTTGACTCCAATGGCAACTGTTTCTGGTTTTTTGTCTTGCTTATCCGTCAAACCCAGGAGTTTGTTTTTTAAATATTTCTAGTATTTTCCGTTGATTTGTCAGAGTGCCCTTTTCCAAATGCTTCACTATTCACAAGGGAAATCAAATATTTAGAAATAGCAACAGAGGCAGCAAGGGTTTCTAACGTGAAGCCTCTGTGTTTGGATACATCTCTCC